AGGAAAAGAAACCTGAAACACTCCTGGTCCCATTTCAGTTCATGGATATTTAATCTATATTCTCTTTCAATAGGTTTTTTTCTAATGAGTTCTTTGATATGTATGGATAAGTGTACATTTGAATAATGTATTTTATGTATTTTCTTTCTCTTCTCACCATTTATAACAATGTAAATTAAAGTACAGATCACCCTGTGCAACTTGACCACAGCTTTTCTGTCTAAATTTCTAAGTCATATTCCAACACTCACTTTGCAACCACTCTGCTTAGCTACAAGAGGCACCATTCTAAAATAGTTTGAACTGGATTTAAAAGCTAACTTTCCATATAATTATTCCACTGAACACACACACACACACACACACACACACACTGCACAGTAAGCAGCACTACACCCGCAGAAGGTGCCACACAGCCACAACCCAACCCACCCCTCACCTGGTCCCACTGTGACTTTTCTTTAAGTATCTGTCATTGCTTAAATTTACTCCATTCCTATTTAGTATTTAAGACAAAATCAGAAAATAAGAGAACAGAGTTTCAACTTCAAAATCTAGGCTGCACAGGAAAATATATCCTGTCAGACTGGTTCTGAAAGGACAGCCCAGTACAAGCACTTAATATGGGAAGGGATGGATGACAAGCACTGCTGAGGGTGGGAGGAAACTGGGACCCTGGGCCCTGGCCAAAGGGACATGGAAAGGAATCCAGAGCCTCAGAGAAAGCCGAGGCATTCCTCAAAAGGCTAAAAATGCAATTACCTATGACCTGACAGTTGCTCTTCTAGGAAGATCCCCAAAGAACGGAGAAGTAGGATTCAAGCTGGCCCTGTACACAGATGGTCACTGTGATACTGTCCACTGCCCCCAAGTGGGGCCAACAACCCAAGCATCTACCAGGAGATGAATGGGTCCACCAAATGTGCTACAGAAATACGATGGAATATTATTCAGCCTTAAAAAAGGATGAAAAACTGACAAAGACTATAAAGGCTATGGATGAGCCCCTAGATGATATTCCCCTAGGAAATAAGCCAGGAACAAAAGCATGAACACTATGATTCCACTCACATGTGAGGTGTTTAAAATTGCCAAATGGGAATGAGTACAGCTGAGGTTATGAGAGCGTCTAGGAGAAGAGGAGGAGGAGAATTAGTGCTTCACGGACCCAGCTTTTCAGCCTGGAATAATGGAAAAGCTCCGAGCACAGAAGGGAGGTCGTTGCAAAACAATGTGACTGTGGTCTGAAGAGCACACTTGCTGATGGTAACCACGGGTGACATGTGTTTTAAAGCGGGAAAGAAACAGATCAGTAACTTAGCATAACTTTCAGGACACTGGAGCTTAGGCTCGCCTCATCAAAACAACTACACAAGATATTCCAGCTGCAGGAATGGCACAGCTTGTTTGGTTTGATGCTGTTTGGGAAGTCACTGAAGAGTTCTGCCTAAGATAACAGCTCTTCTTGGTACTTACCTCAAAAACAAAAAAGAAATTATATCCTCAGGGGAGAAGCAAATGTTTGCATTAACTGCTAGAACTCAGGACAGGAAAATACCACCTGCTATTTCCCTGCCTCCGGTGAAGGCGGGAATCAGCCCCTGCCTGCCTGCCTGCCTGCCTGCCTGATCGGAGCTGGCACCTTACCCTGCACGTCGGCTCCACTTTCTCTCGGTGGCTGACTTGGTCCAGAGTGCCATCAGTCTGACTCCTTTTCATACCAGTGCTGATGTCAGGGACATTGCTGAAATCTGTGGGGAAAATGACAGACACACATGAGCTCGGCCACCTGCAGAAGAGTAGGAAGGACTGGTTTTAAGGTGAACAAAGAAGCAAGCACGGACAATCCACGGGGCAGCACGGGGGCTGTAAGCACTCTGCAGCTGCAGAGGCATTCCGGCAGTCCTCGGAAACAGATCGGGGTCTCGCTCACTGAAAACACAATGCCCATCTTCATCAAGGAGACCAGTCAAAGTACTGGCTTCAAAGGCAAGCATGGTGGTGCACACCTGCAATCCCCAGCACTAGGGAGGCTGAGGAAGGAAGATCACTTTGAGTTTGAGGCCAGCCTGACCTGCATAGCAAAACCCTGTCTGTAAAAATAATACTGACTTCAGTGCCTTGTTCACTCTTCCCATTGTCATGCAAAACATACTTCACTAAGATCTGATCTTAAACAACTTATCTGAATAAAGATTTAAACACACATTTCTTGGTACGGCCCTCTCTCTCTTTTTTTTTTTTTTTTTTTCCTAAGTGAGGGCCAAGTTATCAGAATATCTTAGCAAATTAATGATTCAATATAAGAGACACGTCCAAGACCATACTTGTTCACTTGAAGTATAATGTATTTTCTAACGTCCACCATAATCTCATCTTAAATTCAAATCCTAAGAACAAACTCTCATTAACATCCAGAGAAAAGGCCAAGATGTCCATCCTAAATAGAGTGAATGGTTCCCCAGCCTACAGCTACCCAGACAGCCCATCAACAGCCCCTCCCACAGTTCTCAAGTTAACAAAGTCAAGGGAGATGGATAGACCCAAATCTATGAAAATATAACATAGGTTATCTTTCTAATTCTGACATTTAAAGGACTAATTTCAAGTAGCTGTAAGAGCAGCCAGCCTCTGAGATGGCTGAGCCCAAAGGTGTGGGCAGAACTGCTGACAAAGGAGCTGTCCAGCTCAATGGCAGGCAAGGAGAACAGTCCCCAGCAGCCCTCTAGCATTCGGGGGCCCTGGGGGGCTGACAGCTGAAGGGCCAGAACATGAGTACTTGATCCATGGTGACACTGCCACGCACCCCACAGGAGATATAGGAGAAAGAAGGGCCTCCAGGAAACAGTAATGGTCTATACAATTCTGCAGCTCCAGTTTCTTCTCTTTGCCTTTCCCAATACCTGCCTGGCTCCACCCAGAAAAGAACCATATAATGAGTAGAGTTAAGTCAGCCTAGACAAGGCAGTGCCTACCTCAAAGGCAGGAGCCACCCTGGGGGAATTTTGAGAAGCAGTGGCACTTAAGAGTACTGGGGTTACCTCTCCCAGACCACAGAGCCTGTCTGCTGTGCAGCAAGAAGTGTGCAGAAATAAGATGAGCCCCTCAGCCAAACCTACCAACCACCACACTCCCTGCCAGCCTCCCTCCTCCACCAGGTACACCTTTGTCTAAGGGAAACTGGCTACATAATTCACCAAAGCAGAGCTGGCCTCACTCCTATGGATTCAGCACATACGCATCTTTCCATCCATGCATTCAATGCGCCCTCTCGGCACTAGCCACTTTCCAGACACTGTGCTAGGACAGGAAACACAGGAAGGGCCAGACATTCTCAAGGTCTGCTTCTCACCTGGCGAGAGGTGAGCAGGGAGGGAGATGGAGGCAGAGACGTGAGGATGGCAAAGCATGAAGAAAGTCGGGCCTAAAGGACTTCACTGTAAAAAAATGTCTGAGCAAAGCCAGGCGTGGTGGCATATTTCTGTAATCCCAGCACTCGGGAGGCTGAGGCAGGAGGCTCATTAAGAGGTAGAGAACAGCCTGGGCTGCAAAGTGAGCTCAAAGCCAGACTAACTGCATAGCAGGACCTTGTCTGCAAAAGACCGAAAAAAAAAAAAATAAATAAATCTTCAGTCTGAAGGGTGAATGCTTTAAAGATGAAGAAGGTAAGGCAATGTGGGCAGCAGGGAGAAGGAAACTGGGAGTTGGGAGCAGCAGAGGAGATGCAAATGGTATGAAGATCTGAGTACAGCGCGGGACAGGGGCTTGGTGAGTGTGGCGGCAGCACAGAGCATGGCCGGAGGGAGGCAGGGGCGGGAGGGCAGAAAAACCCGTCAGAAAGCCTCAGCAGCACTGCAGGCAGGTCTGAGCAACAAGAACCCAAAAGAAACAGAAAAAGAGGAGGTGGCGGAGGAGGAGAGGAGGACGAGGAGCAGCAGCAAAGCAACAAGCAACAGCAGAGAGTTTGAGAAGGTAGACTCCATGGTCTCCTCACTGTCATCTATTAAGTATAAGAGACAGCACGGGCTATCAAGGTGGGGGACCCAGTTTTGATTCCGAGGTAACTTGGTAGATGAGCTGAGAGGATGAGGTAAGCATGGGAGGGGCAAGTTTAGCTTTAGCAAGGCTGAGTTTGAGAACAAGTGGACCATCACACAATAAGGATCAGTGATGAGCCCGGAGAAGTCTTCCCAGACATGAGTTTGGGAGCCATTAGCATGTACCTGACAGTGAAGCCACCTATAGGAGAGAGCTTGCACAATACACAAGGGCCGAGGAGAAAACCCTGGAAACATCAGCACAAAGGGGTGCAAGAGAGGGGGACCTTACAAATACTGTTTAAGAGAAAAGAGACGTCTAAGGAAACCCAGAAAGAGCAACATCACAGAAGCCACACAATGTGAAAGAACATTACCTAGGCAACAGAATCAAATTTGCATTATTACTGCCTCTACCTTGTAAATAAAAAGCTTTGGTATTTCCAAAGAGTTACACCAAGCACAGGAAACATGACACACAGTCCGCACATGCGTTCATTCACAATGAACATTTCTGCAGCACCTACAATATGGCCAGCAGGTACCAAGTACTGCAGATACAGAGATGAATGAGACCATGAGTCCTCTGAAGAACCCACAGAGGAAGGGCAGAAGGAGCTCTGGAGTGTGAGGTGCCAGATGGATGCTAGTGAAAATAGCATGGGCAATGGCCAAAGTGGGTGCCAACTGAATGCTGAGTCACTCATTCAATGTATTCCCCAAACTTTGGAATTTAAATGTGGAAAACTCCCTAAATCACTGTAAAGAGATACTCACTTTCAGGTGAACAAGAGAAAAGGCGTGACGCTATAGCAAAATGTATGAGACTGTTTTCCTTAGAATGATGTAGTCCCAGAATAAAGAGTTCACTGTGGACAGGGGAGTCAGCTTGGAGGTCTAAGTGCCTGCCTGGCAAACGCAAGTACCCACGTTCAATCTCCAGTGCCATAGCTCTGGCACCCCAGCTGTGCTGTGCTAGCCTGAAACCAGACATGGTGGCACACTCCCACCAGCACTGGGGAGGCTGAAACGGGGGGAGCACTATGAGTACAAGCTGTGTAGCAAGACTCTGTACCAAATACACAAAAGATTTTTTCAAAAAAATTTTTAAAAAGCTCAGCAATGCACCCATGAGGCTCCCCCACCTTTTTCAGTGCTCCTTAACCCTATGGAGCCTTTGCGTGTCATGGGACACCTTTCAGAAACATCCTGGAGTAGCCTCAGAGACTGATTCCCATGTGGTCTGGTCCCCAGGTTCCACAAGAAGGCAGCTCAAACAGTCCCTGAGACCTGCCAAGACAGGCTTTCTGAGCACTGGTCTACCACCCAAATTTCAGAGGCAGAGTGCATGCGGGCATGGAGTCCCGTGGTACCAGCAATGTGCCAGTGCTGCCCCTCAAGACCGAAAGGACACAGGGAGAGCTGAGCCTGCTGCACCCACCGCTGCAGATCTGGGTCCAAGAGCACAAGCCTGACCTGGTCCTGCATTCCTGCAGAAGGCCTGTGTGCTGGAAGGGAATAAGAATTCCTACACTCTGCAGGAATAGAAGCCTGGTTATGGAAAGCGTGTAGGCCGGTAAGATGCAAATGCTTATTTACAAAGCTGGTTTCAACAGGCAGCCAGTCCTGGTGCTAGATGCCTACACACCTCCCCGCTTACATCCTGCCCACACTGTGAGCAAGGGCTGCTGAAGTGAGTAGCTACAGCCTTCCCCGGCCTACAAGAGACTGGCTTGCACCTGGCACAGCCTCTTCATCAGGACACACACACTGCGGCACGTTTCAGGGGCTCTTTTCTCCTATCAGGTAACATTAAGTATTTGCTTCCAGCCCACCCTGTGCTCTAATAAATAGCATCAACTCCCGATGCCTACCAAAGAGTGGCTGAAATGACAGCAGATATGAAAAACAACCAATCTAGAAACTCAAGTTAGAGCTCTTTGTATCTGTGTACCCTTTTGTCTATGCCATCTTATTCTCTGTGAAAATTAAGTTTGCGAGAAGCCTAAGAGATCAAAAGAAAGCACACATTTATTGCAGCCAATTGGAGCTTCTCCCTGGTGGCTAAAGCAGAGGTGCAACACCCCACGCGGTAGCCTTAGCTTCTCCATTAGGTCCTGCTCACCTCATTGCGCTGGCTCCTGAGTCCGGGCAGGTGCTAGGACCTGAGCTCCCGTCAACTACCGGGTGCTGCGTTAGACACTATAATGAGACCAGGCCCAGCCATCTTCACCTTTAATCAACGAATACTTTCAGAGATGGACAACACACCAGGCAGGCTGTCATGGAATGGCTGTCTCTCCCTGTACTGCATGCCTTATAGTTCCCGGCAGAGACACTGCAGAAAACACCTTGAGGTATGAGACACCTCACGATCCAGTTTTTTCCTGAGCTCTGTGTCCATACATCCCCATTAGTGCCACTGTCAGGCAATTGGCTGCAACCCCAAGTCCCTCACAATTAAAGGGCAAAGCCTATGTTACAGTGACATCCTGGGTACCAACTTAAAAACAGAAACATCAGGGAATGCTAATGGTAAAGGTGACTCACCCACGCAGCGTGTGATCTGAATTTAAAGTTTAGAGTTACATCACTCCCAAATCAAATGGAGCAGTTAATATGCAAGAGTTCAGGCTTTTCCATTTATTCTTCCTGCCACATAGGCAGCACCAGTATATCCCGTTGCTGAGTCTGACAGGCACAAGGGGGAAGGA